TCCATCCCTTTCCATCCCTGCCCCATCCCTGCCCCTCTCTGCCCATTGTAACATACCCTAGTCCCTCACTGCCTGCTCCTGTCCACCCCCTCCCCATCCCTGCCCATCCCAAGGAGAGGACAAGATGGGAGCTGAACCCCTGCAGTGCAGGATGTGGCCCCTGCCCTCACCTGCCTGTAGGCAGCCAGGTTGCTCTCGGCCTCCAGCCGCAGGGTCACCTCGTCCTGCAGCCTGTGCCGGAGCAGGGGCACCATTACATGTCTGGCATTGTGACCCCTCTGGCACCGTGACCCCTTTGGCACCATGATCTGTCCCTCTCTGCCCACGGACACACCCCCCTGTGTCAACACAGCCCCACAGCCCCAGCACCCACCCAAACCCTGTGTCAGTGCCTGCACCCATCCCACACCCCCTCCACCATCCCACGTTGTTCCCAGGGGTCACCCTGGTCCCCACCACCAGCCTGGTGCACATCAGTGCCTGGTCCCCAGGGCTACCCTGCTCCTGTCTCCGTGGCCACCCTGACCCCTGGGTAGCCCCCAGTCTCCATCCTGGTCCCAGGGGTCACCCTGGTCCTTGCCACCACCATGGTCCCCATGACATCACCACTTCCCTGGCCACATCACCATCCCCATCACCACCGTGGTCCCCAGGACAACCCTGATCATCATCCTGGTGGCCATCCTGGTCTCTGCTGCCACTTTGGATCTGGTGGTCACCCTGGTCCCCATTCCAGTGGCCACCCTGCTCCTGGTAATCACCCTGACACCCATCCCAGTGGCCACTTTCCATCCTGCTCCTGGTGGCCACCCTGGTCCCCAGAAGTAGCCCCAGCTGGACAGTGCCTTACTTCTGCTGGAGGCTGCTGAGGTCCTGGGCCAGGTTGTCCCTCTCAATCTCCAGCCGGGCCTTGGCGGTGCCCAACTGCTCCACGTGGAGCCGCAGCTCCCGCAGCTGCTCCTGGTAAACGTCCCCCAGGCGGGAGGGCTCCTGGTCCCGCGCCTGGTTCAGCTCCAGCACCAGCACCTTGTTCTGCTGCTCCAGCAGCCGCACCTTCTC